CCTTGCGTACGGATGACAGCTGCGTATGACTTAATATGTTTTCTGGTGCTTTCACTTCCATAGACAGTTATAAGCACTCTGTGAACTGCCTCGAGGGTGCTTGACCATTTTAACACAACGTGGTGCTATCATCCCCCTTGCGCGGAGTGAGGCTTCTCCACCCCGCACAACATGATCTACTCGACCACCATCGTGGTTCCCGCCAAATAAAAAACCGAGGTAGAAAAATAAACGGGACCTGGCTGCCGAGTTCACGAAGTGAATTGGCTTGTTTTACAACGTCGTTGCCAAGCGACGAAAACCCAATCCCGATGGCAACCACCGAGAGGGANACGTGGTGCGATCATCCCCCTTGCGCGGAGTGAGGCTTCTCCACCCCGCACAACATGATCTACTCGACCACCATCGTGGTTCCCGCCAAATAAAAAACCGAGGTAGAAAAATAAACGGGACCTGGCTGCCGAGTTCACGAAGTGAATTGGCTTGTTTTACAACGTCGTTGCCAAGCGACGAAAACCCAATCCCGATGGCAACCACCGAGAGGGAGGGGGGAGCTCGATAAATTGCCGCGGGAAGACTCGTTGTATTTGTCATACCGGTTCATTGCACCTGCATCCGTACCTGTTCAACTAGTGCGGGTGCCTTCCGTGGTCACGGACTATCCACCCAATATTTTCTCTTTTCCTTTTTCTTTTTGGGGGGTTCCACAACTGTAAGAATGGAAAGAATTTTTCTGCGGCGCCGCTACAGCAGTAGCCATTGCGGTTTGTTTTTCTTGTGGTGGAGCGTTAGGTTGTCCCTTCCATGAGCATTCTCGCTTTGCTTTGAACGTTCGTAGAACGGGTTGCGGGCGATATGGAGTACAGGAAGGAAAGGGAAAACTTTGTCAAGCGACACGCACGCCATTTTGGTTCGGCAGTCTGCGTGGTCCCCGTTCTTGCCCTTCTTTTTGATTCTGTTGGCAACGTTGCTGTCATTCTTTGATCACTCTTTTGTCATGACAATCAATTGCCTCCACGTTTTTGGTTCGCTCCGCGGTACTTGGCGATCTGGCTTCTATTCCGCCTACGACACGTTTCCATACGGAACCGGACGAACAAACAAAAAAAAACACGCATCACAGGCACCACATGAGTAAATGCGCTCAGAACATGATGGGCAAGCTCTTTGCTCTGGACGTGAAGCCCCGCGGCGTGGCGATCGTGAACATCCACCCCGGCTTCATGAAGACGAGCATGACCGAGATTTACGCCGACAAGTACGACGAACTGGGTGCCATCGGGCCCGAAGAAGCAGCGCCCGGCATAGTAAAGGTGTGCACCTGGGGAAGCGTTTTTTTTTATTTCGATGGCATACATGGCGTCCCCCTACAACCAAGACTTGAGGGAGACGTCCAGTTTTTACACCAACTTTGAACACCTTGAAATCCGCACACACCTTTTTGTGCTGCTTACTGGAGGTTTCGGGTGGCCGTGTGTTGTTGCATTGTGGGAAGATGATTCCAACGAGCTGCATGTGGTAGGTGTTGTGTGCCCCAATGAGGTGTGGCATACAGCATCGGTAAGGCGCCTGTGGGTGGTTTGCGTACCCTTCTCGTCTTATCTGGAGAAGCCACCACCAAGCTCCTTGTTTCCTCGTGGAGCGGTCATCGGTCGTGACGGTCCGGCGTTAACGCAAACAAGCAACGCTCGTCGGCTATACCTCCCATTGGATGTTCTCTTCCTCCCTTGAATTGTATGTCCCCTTGCCTAGCCAAGCAACGTTCGTCGGTCACCACCTCCTGTTCTCTCTCTTCTCCTCCTCCCGTGAATGTCCTCTGTGCCGAGCGGTCGCGACACCGCGACCTGACGGAAAGCAAGCCCCGCCAGCACAGATGTTTTTATCTCTCGCCCTCTCTTCCCCCCCCCAGTACTACCGGTGACATCATCGCCCCATTGATTGTTGCGCGCAGGCCGTGGAGGACCTGACTCTTGAGAACACGGGGAAATTCATCGCTCCCAAAGGAAGCAAGAGCCTGGGCCTGGGAGTCTATGCGCTCGAGGACCCCGAAAGCTACGGGCCCTTCTGCGAGCTCCCGTGGTGATTTTTTTGCTGCCGCCGAACCGTGGAAACACGCCTCCTCCATGACGTATCCGAAACGAGACCCGTGGAGCCAGACAATAAAGCACCGCAAAGGGTACATCCTACAACTTCGGAAGTAGGTGCCCGTATGTAGAAGGCGCTGATAACGGGAGAGAGAAAAGTCGCGCATTTTTTCGGGGGTTGTGCTGGCTTTGGGTTCGGCAGTGCGAGAGGGGAAAAAGTGCTGTCGGTGTTTTTTCGAAGACAAGGATCACACCTCATCGACCTAGAGCAAAGGGTTGCATCTTCAGGCGCTTCGTTCTCCTTTGAACACAATTACAACAGGGAAAAAGGAGGCCGAGGGCTCGGTGCATCTTTGGAGCGGTTGAGCGTACGATGGTTGCTATCTACGCTCGAGCGAACCCTTGCAAGCAGCAGTACTAATGCTTCCCACGCTTTTCCAGCTCGCTTGAGTGAGTGTTGCTTCTTGAGGCTGCGGTCTTGACGGCTCTGCGGCGCCTCTACTGTTCGTGAATCACGCCAACGCGTGTGTACGAGCCTGTATTTTTGTCCCGTGCTCCTTGTTATTATTGTTCCGTTTTCTGCTTGCGTTTTGTTCCGTGTCGAGTTGGGGGTTTCCAAGGATTCCCGAAGGCGGTGTTTGTATCCAGGGGAGGGGAGCGCGGGTACCGTAGCGACGAGGATTCGCGCGCAGGTGATGCCCCTACATGCAGCGTTTGTTTCCTTGTCAGCCCTTTTGGTCACCCTTTGTACCAAGGACATATATATATATTGGACCTCCGTCAACAACCAGCGGGCGTGGTACCTTCTACGTTGGACTATATCTTGGTTCAAAATCGGAGATGTGAGGAGGATACATCACGTACTGTATCACCGAACCGTGTTGTCATGGTCCAGGCCGCGCAATGTCGATGACAGTTCAAATGTTTTTACGCTTTCCATTTTTTTTCACATGGCTTCCGTTTCTTTTTGTGTATCGTGTTTCGCGAGTCTTCTTGAGTATGCCTGCCCCTCTGTACACTCTTCGGAAGAAATGCGACATGACAATAAGTACCTCGCCCCGTACCGTTGATGTAGAGCCAACCATGAATGTTAACAAGCGCGTAAGAAAGCGCATTACAAATTTGGTTCTTCGGTTTCGACTCTCTGTGCATCGAATATTGACCCTGTGCCTTGCGCACCAGCAAGTCAAGAGTGCTCCGAGGTGTCGGGGACCCTGCCGCATCACGAACAGATTTCCCACTGCAGAAAACCACCCACACGCTCGGCACCCTCTCACTTCTTGGAAACGAAACCAACCCGAACCCCAGCAAGTTTTCAACGTTCAAACACAGATTTACCACGCCAGAGACTCCTTTGGAAAAGTCCGCTCGTTTCCGCGACCGCCAAGCAGCTGGCCTTCCGGGCATCTGTTGTGAGCATCACTAACAGAAAGGAGCAGAAGAGAAGGGTACAACCCTACCCTCACCCTTGCTCGTCGCCGCAAAAATCTACACGGTGCTTTCCGCTGACGGTTCTACCCGACCGGGCGTATCCCATTGTCGAACACCGATGTTCCAAAGCTTCGGCAATACGCTGCTGAGGGCGTGTAGGTTGACACTCACGCTGCTGTGTATGGGTGTGTGTGTGTGTGTGTTTTCGTCCTATTTATTATGGCGACAGATATTTCGTGGTGAGACGTGTACTACATTTTTCAGCGTATGTAGAGTACTACACTTTTTAGTGTATTTTTCGTACAACTACAACCATCCAGGGTCACACAGGAGAGGGTAAACACCAGGACTTTTTTTCTTCTTTTTTATTTCTTTTCATGCCCCACCTTCCTCCTGCGGTGCGTGCTGAATTTCATTTTTATCGCGAGAAGGGTCCAGGCGTCCCTTTCCCTCGTCAACGGTGCTAATGTCGAAGTTTGGTACTCACGAGAGCTTTTTAGCTATGTTCCGCTTTCATCCGCAAATTTCGTAAATTTTTCACACCGTGGGGATTCGAACTCACGACCTCTTCGACTAGCGGATTACGAGGATACCACTAGACCACTGGGGCGACCGCTGTGTGCACACTGTTGTTGCTGCTGGTCCCACACTGGATGAACAAAAATCAATTGGGGAAGCGGCCGTGGGCACGCGGCAATCTAGTCTATATTCCAAAGCTTCGGGACGACGCTGTCGAGGGCGTATCGGTTGACTTCCACGTCACGGGGACAGGCTTTCTCGCGCGATCCCCGCCCCCCGCCATGGACTCGCCGCCTAGCTGCCTGCAAAGCGTTGGGGGGATGCAAGGGTGGGCGCGTTTTCGACGACGACAGAGAAGAGAGGGGCGAACTGGGCGATCATCATCACGGCACGCCATTGCCAAGACCAAACACTAACTCAACATCCCTTCCTTTTTTTCTCCCTGATGGGGGCTAGAAAACTCACCCGCAGGCCGCCATCCCGTCATCCCCGCGGCTGTCCCGGAACGTGCACAGCTGTCCCCGGGTCGCCAGCGCCCGCCGAAACGCCTCCGCCGCCTCCGGGGACGAAGGCGAGAACGGCGTCCCCGCGTGGGCGTTGAAGGTTATCAGGTTTACCACGCAAGCCACCCCTTCCAGCCACTCGGCCAGTCGAGCGGCGTCCTCGAGGGAGTCGTTAACGCCGCCGAGGAGGGTGTACTCCACGGCCAGGATCCGTGGCCTTCTCCTTCTTCCGCTTCGTCGAGGACCCTCGCGCTTGCTCCCGCCGCCGTCTGGCGGCGATCGTGGCCGCTGCTGCGTCTCCGTCGGGGTCGACGGCGGCCGTCGCTCTGCGCCCTCTCTTGGTGCCAGTAGGTTCGCCTCCTGCTCCCACTCCCTCCCCGGCCCTGCCGTTGATTTTCTCCTAGCGGAACCTACTGCGACATCCTTCGGGCCTAGTGCTGGAGCCGCCGCGGACGAAGCGTGGTCAAGAGCCACTCCCGTGGGCTCATCCGCCGCAGGCTTCGAACTCCGGGGGAAGTGCGTCCTGAGCGTCTCGGAAAGTTGTTCCAGCGGGTAGCGCCGGTTCACTGGGATGAGCTGCAGGCCGAAGGTTTGCGGCGGCGGTCCCAGCGACAGGGGAGGGAAGGGGGCGTGCAGCAGGTGGGCGAAGGTTGTAAATGTAATTGTTTGCTTCCTAGCTTTGCCTCTAGGAAAGCGAGAATCCAAAGGGTCTAGCATGAGGGCATTATAATGAGCGATCAGCATGCCACCGTGCGCACCCAACGAGCGACGAACGACACCGGGGACACGTAAATCAAACAGCGATACAAGGCAGCGAGGGGGGGCAGACATACTGTACAAGCAGATGCCCTTCCTTTGCTTCTGTCCATGCTCCGGACAAACAAAAAAAGAGGACAACGAAACAAACGTAGCGTTAACAGCCCTCACAAAAAGAAGGCACCATGGAGAGAGCAAGATAGAAAGTGAAGAGACATATAGAAAGAGAAGAACACCGAGAGAGACAGAAAGAGAGAGAGGCACACACTGAGATAGATAGGGAGAAACAGAGGCAGCGAGCGAGCGAGAGAAAGAGAGAGAGAGAGACAGAGAGAGACAGAGAGAGACACAATCACACAAAGATAGATAGGGAGAGAGAGAGAAAGAGAGAGAGTGGGAGAGGGAGAGAGAGAGAGAGAGCGAGAGAGAGAGAGAGA